AAAAAAAAAAAAAAAAAAAAAAAAAAGAATACTTTCATAAAATCATTCTTATGTTTTAAATTTGTTTAAAATATATGAAGGAGTCTACGGCCATACCACCCTGAACGTGCCGGATCTCGTCTAAAATAAATGAAGGAAGGCTTTTTTTTAAGGGTCCCATAGCAGTTATATTTTTTGAAAACAAGCGAAATTAAAACCAAAGCAGAAAAAGAAACTTGGGGGAGGGAAGGGGGTTATGACTGAGAGGGGACGGCAGTATGTAAGGGCCAGGCCGCTGCCCGCCTTGCCTGGCGGAGCTCTTTCCCTACCAACGAGATTCAATTGGTTGGTAACAAGAGGCATCACATTAATTTCTGGAGGATGTGAGTTTCTAGTGAGGGAAATCTTATCAACGGGGATCCAGTGGGAGGGGTGGGCAGCGACCCTTTTAATCACGTTGGGCTGCCTAATTGGCAAGGAGGAGACTGGTGTGGGTGGTAGGGCCCGGGTCCCCCGAGCTCCACAGCGCCCCTTGCAGGAAGCCCAGGTGGTTATGCGAACCAAGAGGATACTGACGGTGCTGCGGGGAGGCCAGGGAAAGGGGTCTGGGGAGGAGATGGTCAGTCGTGCCTAAGGCCGCAAAGTGAGAGTCAGGATGGAAGTGGCAGAGCCCTACCGGCCCCCGCAGTGTACCTGTGTACAGGAGTCAGGACCCTGTGTAGAACCAGACCCAGAGTGCAGGGTGCAGCTCAGAGAAAATGCCATGCTGCCTATGCTGCCTGAGCTGCCCCTGACTTCTAGACGCCTGTCAGAGCCGGCTAACAGAGCTGACCTTTTCTCCGTGCTCTAGTGAGGGCCAAAAGTGTCCCCAGGCTGAGACCTCCGGCATCAAGGAGCTATCAGCAGCCTGCGCAGATGGGCAGGTAGCCTGGGTCTCGGGGAAAATACTGCAGCTTTGAGAAGGAAGGTTTGCCTGTGGAAATGCAGCCTTTCTCTGGAGGCCACCGGCTCTGACCCAGATACTCGGACCTGGAGAAGCCCTGGGACCGCCTCCCCACATTTAGAGCCACTGCACCTGGCTGGTCTCCTGTCTGGATGTTCCTCTTCCCTCTCAGAGTCTCCTCGGCCACACCTTTTCCTTCCGGCAGCCTCTGTATTCTCTACTCCTCTCTGGTAGCCCAGGTCCAGTGCTATCAGAACCAAGTCCAGGGACCCTGTTTTGTAGGTGGGGCCCAGGAAGTCGGCAGAGCGGCTGGGAATGGCTGGAAAGAAGGTACAGGGCCTTTCATTTAGTGGCAGGTCCTGCTCTGGTCTGAAACTTGCTGCACAATCTCTTCTGTAGGGGTGAGAGGGTGTGTGGGCTCCTGTTTCTGAACACTAGAACTGTCCCCTTTTGGAGAGGGGTAGCCTCCTCTGCATTCGGGGAAATTCTTATTTATCTCACGAGTGCCCGGGGACACTCAGAGGGTGCCCTGCCTTGGAGAGGTTCCAGGGCGTGTTGTGCCAACTCCTCCTTCCTCTGGAGCCCGGCGGTACTACCCATCCAGCGTGCGCCCCGTTGGGGGCGATGGGGGCGAGTCCTGAGCCTGCTTGGGATCTGGGTTCTGCCCCTCCCGGATGCCCCAGTGCATGGGGCGTCAGGGGCTCTCTGGCCCGGTGAGAGTGGGGAGGTCCTTCTGGACTCAGTGATCTGTCACATATGCACACCCCGCCCCCGCCAAGCGAGAGGGAATCCACGTGCTGCGCCTCAAGGACCTGGGAGAAGGAGACCTGGCTGCTGATCCACCAGGGTCAAGAAGGCTTTTATTGTTGTGTGTTTTTGCTTTGTTTTGTTTTTGAGACAAGATCTTGCTGTGTACTTCAGGCTGTCCTTGAACTCGTGATCGTCCTGTCTTGGCTTCCTGCGTGCTGGGATTACAGGTATGACATGCTAAGCTTTGATTTTTGTGTGTATGCCTGTGTGTATGTTTGGTTTTTGATCCTATTTAAATAACTATTTGTCAAACCTGTTTATTGAGTTCTTAATTTCTGATATTGTATTTTTATACAATTTCTGAATTTTATTATAGTTTTTAGTGCTCTGCCAAACTTCTGTATTCCTTTTACATATTAAACATTGTTATTTTAAAATCTGTATTTGATACCTTATTAAATCCTATTTAGATTTATATTTTTCCCTTGATTTAGTTTGTTTGGTTGTTTTTGATTTGTTTTGTTTTTTGAAACATGGTCTTGCTATGTTGTCCAGACAGGCCTTGAATGTGCAATGATCCTCCTGCCTCAGCATACCCAGAGCTGGGATTATAGGTGCGTGCCTCAATGCCTGGCTTTTGTTTTGTTTTGTGTGATACAGATGAACGGGTTCCACTGTAGCAGGTTTACACAGGCACACAAGATACTTTCATCACCCCTCCCTTACCCCCCTTCCTCGTAGTTTCACATTTTGGGTGGGAGTTTCAGTGTGTAAAATAATCCTAGCTCCATCTTCTCCCTCATTACCATGAGTGTCACTAGCTCTTACTTGAAGTTAGGTTTGGGCCAGGATTTATCTTTGCTCTGGTCATCTTGTTCTATTCCTGCGTCCTCATACCTTTAGAACTGCCAGTTTTCTTGTGTGTCCAGGAAGTAAGTCCAGAGACATGGAATTAGAAGAATATGGTCCATTCTGCTAACACCATTAGCAGAGTTGATTACTAACACTGGGATACAGAGAGGGATGTTAAAAGAAGGAAGTGGACTAATTCAAATCTATTAAAGAAGCAATGAAAGAGCCAGGCTCAGATTAGAAAAGAAAGGATGATATTTGAAAGTAGAAAGAAAAATCTTATCCGAAGAATGGCCAAAATAATGGCTTCCACTCTAGGCTTTGAGAACGGGGCAGACAAGCAACAAGTCAGAGGAACATTTAGTGGTTCTCCTGCCTTCAGGAATGGTCTCTCTCTAACTCAGCAGTTCCATCATTCTGTGATGTCACTGACAAGAGAAGAATGGGGTGCGGGGCTGGGCTCTGATTCCCTTCTCCTCTGGATTCCTATAGTTTTTGGGGTGAGGGGAGGTGACCTGAGTGATCACTGTGACCCAGCTCTGTCTCCCCTCTGGCTGGCCACCTCCACCCCCACCACATTTATGGAGAGAAATTAGCCAGTGTGAGTCGCCACCACTAAAACAAGTAGAGTGTCTTTAAGAAGTTCACCTGATCAACAGAACATCAAGGATAGTCTTTTATTCTTCTGTTTCTAGACAACTTAAAGAAGAGAACTACCTTCAAACTGAGCTGGAAAAGAATATTTGGACAATCTATGAGGATGGATGAGTCTTCAAAAGCTAATCCTCTGAGCTTTGAAAGCACCGCAGTCCCTTTCTTCATCATCCTTCTAATTTGCTTCGTTTGCATTTTCTTTTTATTGGTGTTTTTTTTATATAAATGGTATAAATCCATATTGATAAATTGGAATCAGATTTCAGGTCACAATAGCAAATGTTATCTAGAAATGATTTAAAACAGAACAAGTAACACAGCAGCTATCTCCTTTTTGCATTTCAGGGTTTTAAAAATGCTAATTTCCTGTTCAGAAGTGAAATTCCCACAGCACACCTTAGAATCATGGCCACTCTTCCTATTCTGAATTTTTTGCATGTTTGTTTTCAGTTTCCAAGACAAAAAAGATGAAGTAACAGAAAAAATTCCTTGTATAGATGCTAATGGAGGTGAAGATTGTTCACCTGCTAATGAGGAGGCAGACGAGACAGGAGATCAAGAAAAGTATATACCTGAAGATGCAGTAGGAAGCCACTTTGTGGCTGCCACTTTATGTGATAATACTATTATGCACAGAGTTGTAAATCTCTGTCCATTGATTTTTCCAGGGTCCTAATGCAGATCAGGGGCTCAAATGCACCAGTGAGGCCTGGCATTCTTGTCCAGAGACAGAATAAGGTGGTGACATCCTTAGGAAACATAGAGGGCATGGAGGCAGAGAAAGAGGATAAAATGAAAGACAGGCAAAGGCCTGAGGATGCTGGAGAGGTGAATCAAGAGGTAAGGCACTTTTCTACTTTCAACAGGCAATTTATAATTTATGTTTGATTGTGAAGCAAGAAAATTACTCAGGGCTGGTGTTGCCTGTAAGTTAAGTTTGTAGCAGGAAGGAGACCAGCATCTAGTCATTTAAGCCATTTTTCTAAGCCTTGCAGTATTAAACCAGTTACATATATCAAGCCCAGACATGTACTCACTCATTCTTCATTCTTACATTTTTATTTTTCTCAATAGTCCTCCTTGAATCTGTTTCTCTTAGACTCCTGGGATCTTGGAGCTAAAAGAGACCTTGTAGGTTATCTAGGGATCCAAATCTCTCAGATGAGACTTTTCACTCCTCCCTAAGGCCAAGCTCAGGGCCATTCCTCATGTCCCTGCCTTGATGCTGGGCTGCTTCCCCAGCACCACACCAACACTGCCAGGACACATGCACATCAGGCATGTGCCCCACCACCACACAGCCAGGCCCCACCCAAGACACAACAGTGGTCCACATGGCTCTTGGGTTTGACTCCTTTACAGGGAGACTAACATGTATCATCAAATAATATTTGACCTATCAATGTAGGCTTTTATGACCATAGAAATATTAAAATGTGATGGTGATGGATTCTCATTGCTTTCCTATATCATTTAGAAATACAGTACTTTTTGTTCCTTGTTCACAATGTACATAGAACCTATATCTCTAAAAGCTAAGAGCTTGTTATGTTCATAAACTGATCATTTATACTGTATTCCATTCCCTTACAGGGTGAAAATTTGAGGGAAGCACTCATACCGTCAATTACTGAAAGCTAAAAAAGACCTTTAAAAGGAGTGACATTTTCTAAGGAGGTAATTGTTGTGGATCTTGGGAATGAACACCCTGCACCTCAAAAATATGCTTGAGAACATAAAGAGAGACAAAAAAGTCCAAAAAGGCATAAGAGAAAAGGAAAAGTAAACGAATAACAATGGAATGACTAAGGATACTAAGTCATGTTGAAACAACAAAATACAGTAATATAATTAAGCAAATACAGATAGCTTTTTACCTTTGGGCAGAAAGAAGTGTGCCACATGCAGAACTTTATAAGTAAAGTACTCAGAGCTTGAATATAGTTTTATAGAAACTCAAATCTGAGTTCAGTAAATTGTAAAACTTTGCCTACTCACTGTCCTAACATGTAAATAAAGTTTTTTATTTTGGTGCAGATATCTATTAGGCAAATCATATTCAAAGGGAAATTGTTCCCCCCAAGGGACACTTTCAAGACAGTATAAAATAAAAAATAGAACAGCCGGGTATGGTGGCACATGCCTATCATCCCAGTACTCAGGAGGCTGAAGCAGGAAGATCACCATGAGTTTGAGGCCAGCCTTGGCTACATAGTGAGTTCAAGGCCAAGCTAAACCACATAGCAAGACCCTGTCTCAAAAAATGACTGGGGATTTACCTCAGTGGCACTGCACCTGCCTCACAAGTGCAAGGTCCTGAGTTTGATCCCTGGTACCCAAACAAAAACAGAAAAGGGAACCAATGTTCTTGCTCTAATCTCAGGTATTTGTGAACAAATAAGGTTACATCTATCATCATGGAAACTTCCAACAACTAGGGCAAGGGTCTTCTATATAATCCCCATGGAATGCCATCCTAAAACCTTTCTTGTACTGAGTTGCTTTTTCAGATTGGTACAAAAAGCACATGAATATCAACGACATAGCATTATTTTGGGGAAGTCCTGAGATTATACTAATGTTTTAATTTCAGTAGTTTAAAATTTATTATCCATGTGTGAAATATGATAATAGAGACCAGTACAATATCATCCATACCCCTGCAGTAAACATTTGTGAATGGTGTAAGGGGCTATGAGAAATAAAAAACAGAAAGGATAGTCCTTGATTCAGGGGCTTAGCACGTTATATATATGCATACAGTCAATACGTGTTTGTTGAATGATTGGCGGGAGGATATGTGACAAAATAGTTTAGAATGTATGGCTAATGCCAAATGGATCATGATGAGACTTTTGATGGGAAGACGTCCCTGTAGGCTGTGGGTAGGAAAGGGGACTTACCTAAGCAGGTGGGAGGATCAGATAGTGGAAACAGATGGGAAGGCACAGGCCAAGGCAAAGAGGTAAGGATGTGCATCGAGTTTGGAGGTTGACACCAGGTAGCCAGAAGTGAAGATTGGTGTCAAGGAGAATTGAGAGGTAAGTGAAAAGCGGACTGGACTATGGAGGAGGGGGTCTTGTTCATTCAGAGTCTGTGAGGTCCCTACATTCATTTACAATTTTTTTTTAACCTGATGATGATACTAAAAATTTTACTTTTCATTAGGTCAAATACACATGTAATAAGCACCCTTAAGCATTCTTACACATAGAGCTCAACAGTGCATTCAGTCGTTGTGTGACCATCATCACCATCCCTCCACAGAGCTCTTCGTCTTGGAAAACAGACTCTGTGCCCTAACACCAACTTACATTCCTTCCTCCTCGGTGGCAGCTAGACTTTTACTGTGTCTCTGTAGATTTGATTACTGTATTACCTTTATGTAAGTGAATCATACATATTTATTCTTTTGTGCCTGGCTTGCTTCACTTAGCATAATAGCCTTAAAGTCCAACTATGTATGTGCCTTCCCTTTTAAGCTGGAATAATATTCCAGTTGTGTATAAATGCCAGTTTGTTCACCCCTTTATATGTTGATGGATGCTTAGATTGCTTCCATCTTTTGGTTATTGTGAATAATGCTGCTGTGGATATTTAAAATGTTAATCTAAGAAAGTTCAGACTCATTTGCGTCACTATTTATAAAAACCTGTATGTTCCCCTATGATTTCATGGTTTTGTCGCCCATGTTTGCCTCTGTGTCTATGGAATCAAATTACTTCATCACAAACTGATGCCTGCATCACAGTGAAAGTCAGTTTCCTGTAACTACTAACCAAGGCTTTGTAAACGTTTCAATTGAAGTAGCTGGATGTAGTGACACATACCTGCAATCCCATCACTCTTGGAGGCTGAGGCAGGAGGATGGTGAGTTTCAGGCCAGCTTGGGCTACATAGCAAGTCCTTATTTCAAAAACAACAGAAGGCAGGCAGGAAAGAGGAAGGCGGAAGAAGAAAGAAAGGAAAAAAAAAGATGGATGATACTGGTAAAGGGATAAAGAGATGAAAAAGACATTCTCAGGAGATAGAAATATAACTTGGCAAGACTTTCTAGAGGATGAAATTGTACGCACCTTTTGACTCAGTAAGCCTGTTGCCTGGGATGTACTTTATATATTCTTGCCAAACTTTATTAATGTATAAACTTGCTTGCTTCCTGCAGAGCAAAGCTTGGGGGAGAGGAGAGTGTGTGAGTGAGTACATGTGCTGTGGAGAAGATAGGCAAGCTTTCGGTAACCCAGTCCTAACATCCCATCCCTGTTGGTGCCTTCTGTTACCTGAAGCAACATACTTCATCCAGCCTACATGCAAGGGGAGGGGCTTATGCAGGGGCATCAATGACAAGAGGCAGGGAGAGGTGAGAGTCATCTGAGAGTCTGCCTACCAGAGACTCAGGAGGGTGCTGCCCCAGTGACTAGGGAGAGCAACTGCACATCTTCTGTGGGAGTTTCTGACTTCATAGACATCAAGAGCAGTTCTAAGACTCCACCTCCTGAAGATGTCTCCTGATTTCAGAGTTACTGAAGTGTCTAGCTGCGATGTCCTGATGGGAGGGGGGGACTGTGATTCTTTGAGAAGTAAAGGAGACGTCAAGGAAGTTTTGCAGAGAAGAAATACTTGAGCAAAGTCCTGGTGATGGAAATAAGGCTGGAAAGGGCCTATAGTCAGAGGGCCTTGAGAGTGGGAAGACACGGAGACGCCGGAGAACACCAGGGCTACTCACTGGGCGGGGGTGAAAGGCGGGCTGGCCAGACTCAAGTGAGCCTTTCTAACACGCGTGGCTGTAAGGAGCCACTGAAGCACGTGAAGGCAGCAGTTCTTAGGAGGATTGCTGTATGGGCAGTGGAGGGTGGACTGAGGGGGAAAGAAGCTAGTGGGCACCAAGGACCATTAGGAAGACCTTACAAAGATCCAAGCAGTAAAAGGTAAACAGCCGAAGTAAAACAAGATGGAGTGGAACAAAGAATGACTTGAGAAGTCCAGAGGAGGTGGACTGGATAGGTGTCTGATGAGCCAGAAGGGGTGAACACAACTGTCTCACTGCACAGCTAGATGTGAAGTACAGACTGGCCCTGCATGGTGTCCCCTGGAATTGTGCCGTGAAGGGCTCTGGATATCACAGGGGCAGTTACAGTGCATCCCAGGCTGGGATGACTCTAGACGGTGCAGGCCTGCAGACACAATACAGGACAGAAACAGGAAGAGAAGCCGGCTTAGGTGTGACCAGAAGTTGCAGACTGTTCTCCAAGTGCTCACTGTACCCTTCTTCCCATAGAAACATTGCCTTCCTGCATATTGTAGTGACCCTCTGTGACTAAGTTCTAGCCTGTGAGTGAGCACAGAAGTGGTTTGTAATTCCTGAGTCAGGCCCGTAAAAGGACAAGCATGCTTGCCTCCTACCTTTCCTTTCTGCAGGTATGAATATGACCCATTTTTGACAAGGTAAATAAGGGAAGTATCTCACAAATGGTGGAGCAACAAAATAAAGTCTGGGAGCCAAATGTACTGTTCCTGTAGCCTGTCGTGTGGGAGAGAAATGAAATTCCAACTTGCTTAAGTCACTTTTCTAGAGGTGGAGGGGAGGTGGAAGAGACTCTTGTTATAGAAACCAAGCCTGTGTCTTATCAGCAGAGACCACGTAAAGAGCAGGATGTGAAGGGCTGGGGATTTAGCTTAGTGGTTCTACTGTTTGCCTCACAAGCACAAGGTCCTGAGATGGATCCCTGGTCAAAAAAACAAAAACAAAAAATGGTGGGATATGATGGAAGAAAACGTGCCTCTCATACCTCTTGGCAGGATGCAGAATCAAGGGAGGATCTTAGCTGCTATACTTTGAGTATATTACCAAATCTGTGCCATGACCACTGCTAGGATCTTTTCTGATTTCATATACATTTTATAATTTTTTTTCTAAATCTGTGAAGAATAATGTTGGTACTTTGATTGGGTTTGCATTAATTTGTATCATTTTGGGGCATATGGCCATATCTGACAGGTTTTTTTTTTCCTTTTTATTGAGGTTATTGGTACAATCTAGGTATACAAATACAGTTACATTCATCATTGGTATTCTGTACCTTTACATAATAGGTCTTGATTCTCATTTTTCCCCTTGTCCCTGCCCTCCCTTCACCCCCTCCTCCCCTCCCCATTTACACTTTATTTCCATTTTTTCAGTTTCTCATATTTTTTCCTCTCCCTTATTACCTTTCCCCCACCCTTCCCACTTTCTTTACACCTTTAGCCCTTTACTTCCTATTTCACATTATTAATTGTCTCATTAGGATCCTGTGTACTATTATAGTTTTTCACACCAAAGAAACTTCGGTATTTCAGTTAAAGAAATCTCTGTATGAACATTAAAAATAGGGAATCCTAAAATAACACTAAAAAGGAAAGTAAAAGAGAAAAGGCAATGATGTAACATCAAAATAATCCTTAATTCTGGAGATGAAAATGGTCTCTGAACATATTTAAATTGCTTCTCGCTCTTAT